ATCTATCTATCTATCTATCTATCTATCTATCTATCTATCTATCTATCTATCTATATCTATCATCTCTCATCTATCTATCTTCTTTTTTTCTATATATAAAAAAGGCTGTATGTATGTTCCAGCATAACTCTGGAGTGCCTCAAGCAATTTCAACAAAACTTGGTACACAGATGACCTACCCTCTGGAAACAAATACTGGGGGAGAGGGATAAGACACCCTTGGGGGGGTGTATGTGTGTGTATGTGTGTTGTGTGTGTTCCAGCATAACTCTGGAACACCTGGCCTGTTAAGGAGAGCGAGTGCGGCATCCTAGAGTGGCAATTGTTTGGGATATCATGGGAGGGAGAAGGGAGAGCCTGATTGTAGACAGGGCAGGAAAGAGGAGCACATGGGAGGGGAAAGGGAGAGGGCAGGGATAATGGGCATGGGAGTAGGGGGAAGAAAGGCCCCTGTCAGACAAACACTTCAACGTCTGTAAATACCCAGGCAATGCCGAGTCATCAGCTAGTCAGTAATAATAATGAATCAAACTTATTTGTGACCCATTTCTGATGTGGAGTAACCATTAAATTCTGAAATTAAGCCCATTCTGAACTTAGCAACCAAAACTATCTAGGATCGCCACAATGAACATAGAATCATAAGGCTGGAAGGGACCTTGGAGGTCTTCTAGCCCAACCCTCTGCTCAAGCAGAAGACCTTATATCATCCTGGCTTTTCTGTCAGCTCATCACGTTAAGAACTTTTGCAAGCAAGAATTAGTATTTGTACTGCCCATTTTTCCCCCCCCCCCAATTATGTCTTCCAGACCGTACAGTTTTTCAGTGAGACATGCTGAGATTCTTTTTTTTCAGAGAAAAATGCAAATATAAAGGAAGAACGGAGGGAAGAGGCCAGTGTTGCTCAACTTCATGAGCATTACGATGAGTGTCATGCTTGGGAATTCAGGGAGTTGAAGTCCACGTGTTAAACAGCTTTGTCTAACGGACCTGTTCCAACTAAATACAGGGTTCTATGAAAGGTGTACTGTAAAATGAGACCTACCTCAGAATCATCTTTAATGTTATCGTGTTTCCGAGAGGAAGAAATATAAGATACTGCAGGAGAAAACATACAAAACAGAACCGTAAAGCAAACACATCAGCATATATTTTTTTTTACATCCAATAGCGGGCAAAGATAAGAGGGTTTACATTTAGCTGGCCAAGCCGCCAATTTAACCACTCAGGTGTCACCTTGTTCAGCTGCAATTTCACCTTATTAAAGGGATTTTGGAAGGAAAATCTTTTAACACGCATTTTGGTACACGTATCGAATATTTTTGCAGAAATTATTTCTTCTTCTCCGGGGCAAATGACCGGCTAGATATCCAAAAGTGTGACATTGGGTCACCTTGACTCTGCCCGAGGGTGGGGGGTGGGGGGGGGAAACCCTGGGCAGTGTAAAACTAACCAAAGGGCAAAATGTTTTCAATGTTCACAGTTTCACTTAGCAATAGAAATTTTGGTCTCATTTGCGATAGTTAAGTCGAGGAATAGAAGGAATTGAGTGGAGTGGCGTAGAGTAGAGTAGAATAAGAATAGGGTAAGAATAGAATAAAATAGTAAAAAGAGAATCAAATTAAGAATAGAACAGAATAGAACAACAGACTTGGAAGGGACCTTAGAGGTCTTCTAGTCCAACCCCCTGCTGAGGCAGGAAGCCCTATACCATTTCAGACAAAGGGTTATCCAACATCTTCTTAAAAACTTCCAGTGTTGGAGCATTTACAACTTCTACAGGCAAGTTATTCCACTGATTAATGGTTCTAACTGTCAGGAAGTTTCTCCTTAGTTCTAGGTTGCTTCTCCCTTGGTTAGTTTCCATTCATTGCTTCTTGTCCTGCCCTCAGGTGCTGTGGAGAATAGCTTGACTTAGGATCTTAGGGATCAAAAAACCCCAGTTACAGTAACTGGTCTAGGTAAATTTCTTTATTTGATTGATAACCCAGAGGAAGACAGTGTA